ATTTGTCCTTGCCAGTGGTCCAAATAGTTTGCATAGTACGTGTATGTATCAAAACTTTGTAAACTGGGCATAGTGGCACATGCCTGTAATCACAGCATTCAGGAGGCTGAAGAAGGAGCATCTCGAGTTTGAAGCCAGCCTGCATGACATTTCAAGACCCTGTTTCAAAAAGAAATGTAGACAGGGTACTAATTGTTGATAAATATGTCCAGTATATTTGGTGATCACCAAAGACCTTCCATTCAGCAATGTCTGCCCACCTGAGCAGGGCGTTCAGTGGGCTGTGCACCATGGTGTAAGGCACACCAAAACTCGAAGTCAAGGGCCAGGGATCTAGCTCAGTGGTGCCGCCACCTTCTTTGCAAGCACAAGGACCCGAGATTGATCTCCAGTACAAAAAAAAAACCAAACACAAACTCCAAGTCCACCCAGAAGGATTCTACCAGAGCCAAGGAGGTGACCTCTGGACCATGTGAGAACGCTGATGGCCAACATTTCTATCAAACAGCTACAGTGTCAAAGAGAGATCAAAGGATGACTGACAAGAATTTAGATCAGAAGATGGTATTTTTATAGTTCAGGCTGATCAGTAACAGTGGTTGCATGATCTTAATCCTTTCAAGTTATACTACGAAAAATAGCAAGAACGTAAAAACTGTAATAACTGATAAATTTATGCTGGGCACAGTGGTGCACACCTGTAATCCCAGAACTGGGAGGCTGAGGAAGGAGGACTTGAAGTTCCAGCTCCGCCTGGACACTTTTTTGCAGAGTGACTGGAGATGTAGTTCAGTGCAGTGGCCCTGGATTCAATTCCCAATATGAACGAAAGAGGGAAGGAAGGCGAAGGAAAGGGAGAGAGAGGAGACCTATTTATTCTATTCAAGTTGCCACACAACCGAAGCTGAGACACAAATGAGAAACCACGCTGGCTAAAGCTATGTAGTGTTAAAAAGGCACCTTCCCCAGCAGTGGGACCAAAATGAAAGTAAGACTAGAAGACCCAGGTCCACATTTCTGGTTCTCTGTCAGGTCCAGCAGCCTTCCTTTAGGACAAGGACCTCACCTAAACCCAGCTGGCCCAGAAACCCTGAAGGGGAGAAGCTATCATTTACAGAGAGTGAATGTGAAACACAGCAACCCTAAAAATGAAGTTCTCCGAGCCCCAGGAAACAACCAATCTGCTCCAAGAAGGCTAGGGGTGGGCAGGATTTTGCTTCTGAGCTGCTCCTGCTCCTCCCACTTTGCTGCACCTACAGGAAGCCTGCAAAGAAATAAATCAGCTGAAGAGCCATGAGAGCCCCTTAACTGCAAAGATGCTTCTGCAATGAGCCACGGGCCCTGCAGGGCAGAAACCTGGGTGCTGCTGCTCACCCTGAGGATCTGCAAGGGCCCCTTCTCGAGGGTCCAGAGCAGTCTCCTTCAAGAGATTTAACTGCAATGAAGAGAACAGGTTCCACCCGATAACACCTCCTTGTATTGAGTCCAGTGCTGAGGAGCTGGACATACTCAACCAAAGTTCGGCCCTTGGCCACTCACCCTCTCCTCACCCTCTGCTGCACAAGGATATAAACCTCGCTCACAGTCTGTCCCCTTAAACCAACCATGAAACCCTCATCCCAGAGGTGCCCACCCTGCTCCCGGAGGAAAGATCCACCCAAATCATTCAGGAAGAATCTGCACAGGCAGGTCTGGCTATATTCTCTCCGGAGTCTGGCCATTAGCACACAGCCATTCATCCTCTCCATGAAACCCACGCAAAACTGTACACAGGAGCTGGATATGGTGGTGCACACTATGATCCAAGCACTCGGGAGGCTGAGGCAGGAGGACTGCCAGGAGTTCAAGGATAGCCTGGGCTACGTAGTGAGTTCAAGGACAATCTGAACTACACAGAAAGATCCGCCAAAAAAAAAAAAAGTATACCAGTGTCCCTGTTTCTTTGTGGAAAATGATCTTAGCTAATGGTCACAAGCACCTCTGAAGTGTCTGTGTTGTCTTTGACTCAGAATCATGAAATACATGTCCCATGTGACCCTGAGACTCAGCTGAGAGCAGCCTGGCCCTGGCAGGTGTCGCTGTCACACGGAGCGCTGGGGTCACGGATGGGGTCTTGGGGGGCTCTGACAGCCAGACCACACATTCTTCCCCGACACGTACCTCTCCACACTCAGTCTCCTGTTTCGTTTTTATTTCCCTGTCGTTGTCACTTGGGTTTTCTTCCTACCTGGTGGCCCTGGCCTTTTGCTTTCTTTGCTTGTTCCTGTTCTGCTGCAGTCGTTTTAAGTCCGGATCCTCCTGGCCTGCTTGTCCTCTTCCGCTCCCCTTGAATGCAAACACAAACTCTTTTCTGAAGCCTTTGCAGTTCCAGAGCTCTTGCTCTCTCGCCGGCTGCCCCTGGGTGCGTCTACTCGGTGCCTCTACGACATCTAAGTACATTCCCCAGAAGGACCCGAGTCCCCACCCAACCCTTAGCCCATCAGTTCTGTCTCACCGTCCTGGTCTCAGCCTACTCACTTCTGTCTGCTCACTGGATGCTGCTTGCTTTTCTTGCTTGTCTTTTTCTTTTTTCCCAGTACTGAGGTTTGAACTCAGGATCTCACATTGAGCTACATCCCCAGCCCTTTTTATTTTTTATTTTGAGACAGACTCTTGCTAAATTACCCAGGCTGGCCTCGGTTTTGCAATCCTCCTGCCTCAGCCTCCGGAGCGGCTGAGATTACAGCCTCACCACACCGAGAACTACAGTGATCTTTCTGAAAACATAAATCAGCCTACCTTCTTCCCCATCTCAAAAGCCCTCCGTGGCTTTCCAGGCACCCCAAAAATGTTCTAATGCACCACGGGAGTTTCAAAGGCCTGTGTGACCCAGCTCCATTCTTCTCCCTGATTTTCTTCATTACCTCGGTTTCCTAGAAGTTCTAAAACCTTCTGTAGCGCTTTCCCTTTTCGTCCCCTTGCAGTCCCCCTGCCTCGGAAGCTTCCCCTTTGGCCTGCGGCTTCCTGGTTTCTTCCGAAGCACCTCCGGAGAACAGCCTTCCCTTACACTGCTGTGGACCAAGCAGGTTCCCGTTAGTGTTCACCTCGGCACGGTGGGCACTTCTGCCTTCACCTGCCGCAGCCTGGAGGGGCCTGACTTCTACACTGCATATGGCCTGACCCCTTGTGAGGACAGAAACATGTTTGTCCTGTCTCTATCTTGACACAAGAGGCTTATGTACTCCCAGGATGGAGCTCGGTAAAATTTATCCACGGCATTTGTAGGAAAATGGATGCACCTAGAGTGCATCCTGTTAAGTGAAATAAATCAGACACACAAGCTTCAATATCGCATGCTGTCTCTTATATGAGAGACCCAAACTATAAATAAATTAAGAGAAAATCAAAGACAGATAGGAGATAGGAGACAGGGAGACAGATCTTTTGCAGATGGGATGGGGACCCAGAGATGCAGGGAGGGAGAGGAAGAGAAGATGAAAAAGCATGCAGAGGGCCGGGGATTTAGCTCTGTGGTTCTGCCGCCTGCTGCACAAGTGCAAGGGCCCAAGTTTGATCCCCGGTACCAAAAAAAAAAAGAAAAGAAAAAGCATGGAAATGTGAGATGTCCGTGGACCAACTCCCCACAAGAACTGTGATCATTAGGTAACACAAACATTGGCTAATAAGAATTCTGAAAATGTACTGAACAAATGTGAGAATAAGTGAGTGTTACGTTCAGCTGTGTGACCTCATTTCCATGAGTAGCGCCTGTCTCTGTCCTGACCCTCCTCCGAGTCCTAACCCCGGGACAGGCCCCACGACGAGATGAGCCCTGGTCAGGACCCAAGCTCTGTTCAAGATGACCAGAGAGGCCAAATGCTATGGATCCCTAAGAACCTAGGCTGCAGGCCAGGTGCCGAGCACAGCTGGCATTTGCACTTCCTTAGATGCATAACAGACTAGCATTTTTGCCAAGTGACCCAACACAGGACCCTATGTTACAAAATCCATGTCACCTTCATTTCCATATCAACCAGAACTCTCATCAGCATCTGGTACAGTAGATGTGTACCTGGCCAGGGCTTCATCTTTGTCTCAGAAAGCAGATGAATATATACACATAATAATCACTTGTGTTACTCCAGACGCCTTCTGTGTGACAAATCCTGCGAGGTACTCGGTACTCAGTGTTACATCTACTTAATCTTCACAACAAACTCAGGAGGAAGACTTTGCATCCAACCGATGAAGTATCAGTGGTTCAGATATATTACATTATTTATTTACAGTGGACCCTTGACTTGTGAACCCAATTTGTTCCCGAGGGCTGGTTGTAACTCAAGTTGGTCAGTGGAGGCTCAGGCTCCCCTACACAGCCTTCAGAGTCTCTCTCCTGCACACAGGCAGATCTCAGTGTCCTCAGAGAGACACTAGCCCAGGACTTCCCAGTGAGCCCCACACAGGAGAGGATGCTGTCAGGTTCCTTCCAGAGCTCTGGAAGGGTTAAGTCTGTATCTGAGGCCATCTGGAAGCACAAGCGGCCAGCATTTGGGTTGTAACTCAAGACTTTGGTTATGACTTGAAACTAAAATTCTAGTTGTAACCCAAGTTATTTGTATGTCAGGCCGGCCATAACTCAAGGGTCCAGTGTGGATTTGGTTTTGGTTTTTGAGACAGAGTCCCAGTATGTAGTTCAGGCTGGCCTCAAAATCACAATCCTCCTGCCTCAGCCACCCAAGTGCTGGGATACAGGCATCTATGACTTACTTTTATACCGGGCCTCTATCTGGCTGAGCTGAGATGAAAACGAAATTTTCTGATTCCAAAGTGAGAATTATTTAAACTAAATAATATTGCCTTTAAAAAAAATCACATCTTTTTTTTTTAATCATTAGGCACTCTACTGCATAAGGGACAAAACGCGATTCTGTTTAAGGGCCATTCCGCATGGGCGCCCTGGGTCCCCACCATCCCCCAAAGTGCCATCGCTAGTCGGAGGCCGTGTCCCAGCCCTCACTGACCTCTGGGTAAACAGCGGCTCCTGGAGCGTCCAGATTTCTCTTCCGAAGTTTCTCAGGGAGGACGTGAACGTGCAGTAACAGTGGTCTCACGTGGCACTGCGGATTCCAGAAAGAGGCCAGTAGTTAGCCCTAAAGAGAGAAAGGCTTTCTTATCCTATTAATCAATGTTCTTTCTTCTTTTTCTTTTTTTGGTACTGGGGATCAAACTTAGGACCTTGCGCTTGCGAGGCAGGCAGCGGCACCACTGAGCTACATCCCTGGCCCCCTATTCATCAATTTTTTGTGTGGGACTTTAATGTAAGACTCCACTTGAACTTTGAAAACTACTGACTGTGTGGGAGAGAGGGGAGGAAGGGAAAGAAGGAGAGGAAGGAAGGAAGGAAGGAAGGAAGGAAGGAAGGAAGGAGAGCGAAGGGAGGGGGAGGGGAGGGGAGAGTTGGGGTTTATTTTCCAAAATGACTTATATATAAGTCATCCCGACACCCCGCCTGCCTGGAAGAGAGGGAGAGGAGACCAAGAATGGCGGCTTCTTGCCCAGGAAGGGGGAAGAAATGCATGCTGCTAAAATCAGAGCAAGCCCCCGGAGACATCCCTGCCTCCTCTTCCGCACACCCCGAATCCCGAGGAGCTGGCTTCGCCTCCAGAATTCCTCATCTTCACCCCCTTCTGCTGCCGCTCCAGTCCGAGCCACCATCCTCTTTCCCTGGGTGCCATGTGTCAGCGGCTTCCTCACTGTTCTCCCTGCCACGGTCTCTCTCACCAGACAGCAACGAGCTCAACCCAGCCTGGGCAACTTAGACTTAGTGAGACCTGTCTCAAAATAAAAAATAAAAAGTGCTGGGGATGGAACTCAGTGTGAATGAATGCTTGGGTTGCATCCCCAGTGAGAGACAGACAGACACAGACAGACGCACGCAAAGTCAAGTCTGCTATTACTCTGTGTACAACTGTCTGCAGGTGTCCGATTACAGCAAAAGTAAAAGCCAGACTCCTTAGTAGGGTCTAGAACCCAGTTTTGCAAACCAAGCCATTTATCAGATTGTGAAACCAATGTACTGAGGAAGGATCAGCATCTTAAATCAAATAAAATAGAATACATCACAGTTCCTTATGTGCAGTGAGGACAAATGCAGCACCGCATGAACCTTCTCCTTCTGATGTGTGTGTGCTGGACCTCAGCAGAAGTGGATTTTAAGGCCTCATTAAAAGAGCTTGAAGGAATTGCCCTGCAATTATGTTTTGTTTTCCAAAATGGTTCATATTTTGGTTTATATGGCTAAGGGCCTTTCTGCTCCTGTCTCCCCCAGTTCTGCCTCCCCAACCCTGCTCACTCAAAATGCTTTATGCCTAGCTTCCTAGTGTGTCTTAGAGGAGGCTGGCTTCCGGGGCTCAGGTTCCCGGGAGGGTCTGCTTCCGGTTACCTGCTTGGATGGAGGCTTATTCAGGCCCCAGATCAAATGTCACCTCCTTAGCCACCTCCTCTCACTCCTCCAGCTGTCCCCTCTGTCACAGGACCCGGCTTCTCATTGTCTTACCCATTTATGTGCTGCAACTTTGTCCCTCTTGGCAATCCCACTGACCAAGCTCTCCCTGCACAGGGGACATGAAATATCAGTTATGGGATGTTGATCATTTCACTTTTACAAGTGTTTTTAGAAAACAGGGGCCATTATAATGATTTTGTGTGCGCTACAGATGACACCCAGGGCTGCAAACATGCTAGGCAAGTGCTCTGCTACTAAGCTACACCCTCGTCGCCTGTAATAAAATTCTTTTTTGTTCTGTTTTGTTTTTTGAGACAAGGTCTCACTATGTAGTTCAGGCTGGCCTCGAACTCCCCACGATCCTCCTGCCTCAGCCTCCCTAGGTTACAGGCGAGCACTATCACGCCCAGTGTATGAAATTCTTAAATAATCATGGTAATATTGCTATGCATACAAGAACACTGTTGCTGGCTGGCAGAAAGGTTCATGGTTCCTGCTAGAGGGAAGCACGTATTTGGTGGAAAAGTTAGTACCCTGAAGCCCAGTGTATGAAAAGGCAGCCTGGCTAACACGGAACATCAGATAGGGACGTCCTCAGTATTTTTGTCGAGTGCCCTGTGGTTCCTGGCAAGGATAACAAAAACCTGAAAATCTGAAGCACTCCTTTTGAATTCCCATTAGATACAATGGGGTCGGAAGTAAAATCGGCCCTCGGCCTGTGGCCTGTTTGTTCTGAAGAAGTCGGACCCAAAAGGCCACCAGGCAGCAGCAGCTTCCAATGACCAGATGGGAGCAAACAGCCTCGAGGAGAAGGGACCCTCCCTCCCTTCTCACTCTCCACCACTCACGCTCACGAGGATTGTTATTTCCATCTTCGTGCAATTCCTTCCGGTGTCTGGGCCTCCTCAGTGCGCCCGGACGATGGGAGGACAGGGCTGGCCGGGTCTCTTCGGGACCCCTTGGCAGCAGTGCGCAGGGATTGTCGGGGAAACCGAGTCACTGGCTTCCTAGTTCTCACTCCTGCGCCATCGAACCCTACTCTGATTCCTAAGCCCCGTTTTCCTCCATGATAAATAAAGCCAACGCAACACCGTCTTCCTTGGGAGACCGCGGCGCACAGGAAGTGCCCAAGACCCCAGCGGCTTCCGGTCGGGCCGCAGGGAGGCACTGCGCAGACGCAAACAGCACCAGCGCACTGTGCCCACGCCTTGAAGGCCCCGAGAAGCCTGTCTGTTCTTGCCATCGGCAAAGACCGCACAGAGAGGAAGCTGGAGCTGTGGGCGAACAATAAACAGCATCTTGAGAAGCAGTGTAGCCAGGCGTGGTGGCGAACGCCTGTGATCCCGGCACTCGGGAGGCTGAGGCAGGAGGATCACTATGAGTTCAAGAACAGCCTGGATTACATAGTGAGTTCAAGGCCAGCCTGGATCACATGGTGAGACCCTATCTCAAAAAATAGACAGGGCCGGAGATTTAGCTCAGTAGCACCGCGCCTGCCTCGCAAGCCCAAGGTCTTGAGTTCGATCGCTGGTACCACAAAAAAAAAAAGAAAATCCATGTTGGAGTTGGACTGGAAACCGCATTCAGTGCAGGGCAGGGAGCAGGTCTGGTCACTTCTGTCTCTGGGACTATGGCCCTTTCTGAGACAAGGCTAGGTCTTAACATGAGCGGGGGGGGGGGGGGGGGGCAGCCATAGGTTCTTGTTGCCAAGGCAGCTTCCAGGGTGCTAAAGTGTGCAAATAGTGAAGCCACCAGGGCCGGCCGATTCATCCTACCGAGCGCCAGCTCAGTGTTTGGAGCTGAGTCCCTCTCCTGGGCGCAGATCAGAGCCCCGAGTCCCCAGCAGAGCCATTCACACGCCGCAGGGCGCAGGGGATTAATTGGAGGGGGATGTTGTGAATTCCTGAGAGTCTTTCTCCGGCCAGCAGTCGGGCGGGATGTTGCTACATGAAAGCTTTGCTGTCAGTATCAATCATCATTGCGGGGCACAACATTCCACGGGAAGAATCGGCCTCATTTGGTAACTCGATGGGGGACTGGGAAGGGGGTCCCCAAGGGTCAACATTGGCTTGCAAGGCCCCGTTTCTGACTCCGGAAGTGGTTTCCAGAAATCCAGAGTTTTCCTGCAGCCCCCCCCCCCCCCCCCACACACACACGAGTGTTGCGGAAGGAGCGGCTGGAGGGCGTGTACGACTGGGTTAGGGTCCGGGACAGAGCCTGGGCTGGGAGGAAAGAGCGTTCCCCGGTGGCAGTGATGCCAGGCCACTTCCCCTGGCTCTTCAGGAAGCCCTGGCTCTCTCCCCTCCAGGAGTCCCAGGCTCGGAAGCAAAGGGAGCCCGAACTTCTCCCTGTTCAAAGCAGACCTGCTCCAGGAAGGCAGATATGTAAAAAGCAGTGCAGAAAAAAAAAATTTTAAAGCGCCAAACATTTTCTGGAAGCGGTTGCCTGGAGACTCGGAAAGGAAGGGGCCTCTGACAGACCTGGGCATTTCTCTGTCGGCGCCAGGCTTCCCCACAGGTCTGAGGCTTCTCCCTGCCAGGCCCTCGCTGGCCTTTTTGTAGAATTGCCTGGGGCTCCCAAAGAGCAGGGGCTAGCGGGAGGGATCCGGGCTCCGCTGGCTTCTCCTCTAGGTCAGGGTCTGGTCACAGCAGGAGAGGAGCTGTACCCAGTTGTCCTCTGGGGCCCGGGCCGTCTCAGTGTCTCTCAGATGGGCCCAAAAGGCCAGCAGCTGCCCTGCGGAGGCTGGCAGGGCCGGCGGGAGAACAGAGGCTGTGTGATCTGGGAGGCAGGCCTGTGAGCACGGCCAGGGGCTTCTCTCTTTGCGAGCAGCGCTGGCTGTGCAAAGGCTGCCTCTGCATCTCCCCAAGGCTGTTCCTGGGGAGGATCAGAGCTAGAGAGAGGCCGAGCTCCAAAGAAAAATAAACAGAAGCAAAAAGCAGGACCTTTCCTATTTTCAACAAACAAAACCAGTGACATTCACGCCATGTTTCAAACTATAGATGGGCAGAAGGTGACGCTTCCTCGTGTGGGCCGAGTCCTAAGCCGCTAGTCCACTTTCTGGAATTTAGATTTTTTGCGTGCATTTGTGGTGGTGTCTGCCATGGCAACGAGCAAGCATTGGTGTGGACCACAGGTGTTGGTGATCCTGGACAGGTCGCACCCTCTCCCTGGCTCTCTGTAAGCCGTCTGCCTCGGCTGTCATCCCAGCTCTCTGTTTTATGATTCTTTGGTCCTCACAGCAACAGGCGGGGCTTCCGTGTCATCTCCTACTTCCTGGGACACCAGGACACCAGTCCATACTGCTGGCCACTCAGGTCCATCCACACTGCTCATCCATGAGCATTTTTCAACACTTGTAAAATGGGGAGAAGCAAGCGTGCTTCCAGAGCACCCTGGTGCAATGGTACAGGATCTCCAGCACTGTAGCATGGTCTTCTCTAATCCTAGAACGCAGCTCTGTTTAGCATCTCAGCTCCACAAGCTGCCACCTGAGAGCCACAAACCGGCTGTAAGAGTCCCGGAGACAGTGAGGGCAGCGTGCCGAGTCCCCTTTGCCCCCACCAGTCTGGTCTTTCTCTGCTGGATGCTGACAGTCTGTTCTCAGCGGGAGTCTCAGGAGTCCCCACCGGTCGGAGAGGTCAGATGCAGCCTCCACTATTATTCTAATGGGTCCTTTTAATTCTCCCCCGCTTTGATGACATCAGTTTCCACAACAAACTGGGCGCCCAGCGCATTCCTGGGCTCACAAAGGCAGACACACTTGGCTTTGCTTCCCAACTGGGAGGCTGGGGCTCTGGAGCTGTTTTAACCCCGGGCTGCAGAAGTGCCCCAGCTCACTCCCGGTACCTCCAGTCTCTGCAGCCAGAGACAGTGAGGCTCCTCGAAGAAAGGCAACAGCTTCCAGCTTTTAATTAAGGAAGGGGCCAGGCAGCAGCTGCGGACACACACGTCCAGCCAAGCCTTGCCGAGGAAGAGCCCTGTGCTCCAGACCCTCCGCAGTTCACTCAGAGTAACTTCAGCTAACACAGAGTTCTGCCGAGTAGGAGCCAGGAGCCATCTGGAACCATTTCTAAATGTCTCATCAGCAGAGACACAATCTCAAGTGGATGAAATAGGCATCTTGTTGACTTTGTGAATGGAGAAGCTGAGGTGAGAGGAGGTAAGCGGTCTGCCCAGGTTCGGGCCGCCCCTAGATGTGCAGGCCCTCCTGTCAGTGAAAATGTTAGACCTCAGCACGAGGAGGAGCCGTGGATGGAGAGACGGAGGCCCGAGTTTTGTTGAGTGGCTACCAGCAATTCAATTTCCTCCATGCCTTGATTTTCCTAACTGTATATTTGGGATCGAATTCAGTCATTTTTTTCCCCAAACCTCAATCATTCACGGTAAGTATACCGTATCCTCTAGTTATAGGATATCAACTATGCTTCGTTAAATCAGTGCACTTTCTAAAATTTTTGAGACAGGGTCTCACTCTGTAGTCCAAGTTAGTCCTGAACTTGGCTTTGTTGCCCATATTGGAAATTCTCCCTCGGCCTCCCCAGGATGGCAGTTACAGGTGTGAACCACCTCGCCCAGCTTAAATCAATGCACTTTTTAAAGCCAAAGAACATGTTTTACAATTAAACTTTATTAAATTGAAAACCAAAATGACTTGCTCTAAATAGATGGCAATAATAAAAGTAAAGATAATGAGAAAGCAATGTTATTAAATTCTGGCAACTCACATCTGCCTAAAGCTCTGAGCCTTTGTCTGGCCTTCTCAGGTTGGTTAAGACACTGCGAGTTAGTCGGAGGACATGGAAGCTAAGACTACTCAGTGTCACCAAGGAGGAAAAAAATCCAAAAGGAAACAACTTTCTCGCTGCATCGCTCAGTGTTACTTAACATCTTGGCTCTCTACTACCTGAAATTATCTCCCTGACAGAGGTTTTCCTGTTTTGTGCTTTGTATGTTCACAGTGCTCCCCAGCTCAGATTTAACCAAATGATATCATAGGCAGCTAAATTAGGTAGAAGTATGATAGGCAGTCAGACAGAGTCAGCCCAAAAGATGAAAACAAACTACAACTGTGGTAGGAAACGTATCTGTTGGAGACCAGGCCCCAAATAAAAGACGAAATGACCAGGCCTGCCCTGCATACTTCCCCAGAGGACACGATAATCAGTAACGCCTGGCCTAATGAAGCATAAATAGACACCGTTCACCCCATGGGTGACCAAGGCTTCCAGACCCATCATTTCATAGGAAAAGCCTTTGTTCTTTCCATGCACACTTGTTACGTGACTTGTTTCCCCCACTGGATCACCGTTACCTAAGCAACTATACTTGTAACCTTATTGGTTGTTCATAGCTGTAACCCACTTTGTATTCATGTGGTTCCATAAAACTTCCCCTGAAAGGTGGGGTCCTCAGCTACCCATTCGAGACCCCTCCTGCCTCTTTGGAGCTTTCTTCTCAAAAAGGATTTCCTACTCTTAACCTCCATTGTTCCTAGAATTCACTCTTTGATTTTAGAGAACACAAACTTGGCATATCAGACTCTAACAGGTTAGGAATTATATCATTTAGAGGTCCTATTTCATCTTCTGCCTCAATAGTATAGGTTTCTGTTTCTGTATTTCCAGCTCTAAACTACTTACTAATGACTATGAAATTTGAAACTTAATTCACTGGCACCCAGTACCTCCTGACTTGCAAAACAAGTACAATAAAGAGCCCTTAACAATAAGCTCTCAGCACTATCAATGCTCTGAACAGAAAGGAAAATTAAGAACTTTTCCTGGGATTGTGTCTTCAAGCACAGAAAACTATGCTGTGTCATCCTACAGCTGTATTTTGAGTATGGTTGCAACCCCTGGAGATTTCCAGTTCTCTGAGGTCAAAATTATTTTCACAACAATGTGAAAATGTCCCTGCCTTAGAAGCCCCACGAGAGAGGGCCACAGATGAAATGCAGATGTAGGTCTGAGAACCTGGCTGTCTTCCACTGAGATAGGCATTAAAAAGATGTACAAAACATTAAACAATGCTGATCTTTAACATGTGGGACAATATAGTTACTTTTTCATGGAAATTTTTGTGTTAATGAGTTTATTTCTAATAAATATTTTTAGACATCTTTTTAGTTTCTGATATGGGAAGCATTGGCAGATCTAATGCTTGTAAGCAAAAAATTTTGAATCTTCAATCCTCAATTATTGTAAGGAAATAAACATCTCCTATTTTTACCATTTTTTAATTCATCCATGTTTGCAGTACATGATGTTTACACCCCTTGGGTGGAGTTAGCACGTGTGCATAACACATCTTCGTTCCTTTTTTTTTATGGTACCGGGAATCCAATTTGGATCCTTGCGCTTGTGAGGCAGGCGCTGGAACCACTGAGCTAAATCCTGGCCCCCTCTTCATTCCTTTTTATCCCCTTCTCCTCCCTCTCTCCTCCCTCCATCTATTGTCCCCTTCCCATTTGAGAAAGTCATACATCCCTATTTCTTCTTATCTAGATTTTCTTTTGCTCTTTATTTATATTTTGGACTCTTCATAGAAGAGAAACCATGTGATACTGAAGCTCGTGTGTCTGATTTATTTCACTCAACATTCTGGTCTCAAGGGGCATCCATTTCCTACAAATAACTCGTTTATCTTTATGGAAGCATATACTCTATGGTATGTAAATCCCACATTTTCTTCACCCCTTCATCTCTTGATGGCCACATAGGCTGCTTCCAAGACTTGGCAAGGATGCGGAACCCTTCTACACTGCTGGTGAGAATGCGGGAGCACAACCACTATGGAGAGTCCTCAAAAAACTGAAACTAGAAGTTTAATTTGACCTAGCTATTCCCCTTATAGGAATCTTTCCAACAGTTTCCAACAGTGTCATATGATGACACTGACCATGCACATCCATGTTTATGGCAGCAAAATAAACACGCATTGACCCCCAACTCTTTGAGGGTGTCTGAGGCCATTACAAACAGCTGATCTAATCAGCAAAAATATGAAATGAGTGAAGTCAAAAGCAATTCATAGGAGAACTACCAATAACAAGAAGAGGAGGAAAGAACCACACAGCACACAGTAATAATGAATAGTTGGCCTGTTCTGGGATGATCATCAGCTCAGGGCATCATCTACGATCATCACACAAAAAAGTTAAGCAAGTGAGAGGAAGTGCAGCAACTGGAAAGTGTTACCTAATGCATAAACTGAAGGCCATGGAATTGCCAGCCCTGAGACTGCAGCATGTGAACAACATGCTTGATTGTGCCTGGGCCCAGAAGAAATGGGGAAAATGGAAACTTTCAAGGGAAGATTGCAAAGGAAAATTTTTTCTTTCACCAATTACTTGAAATTATGTCCCCAGATTGCTTTATAATCATGATAAGCTGTAACAAAACTTTCATTTCTTGTGTTGTCAGAAAACTGCTGAAAGTTTGGGACACTGTAACCATGACTTTCTCATCACACACCTGATTAAATCAAGTAGGGCCAGTGGAATTTTACCAGCTGAATCCCCTCAATTCTACAGCTATAAATTGGTTGTGACTATCAGCTGAGACCATAGCCAACAAATTATAATTGTCAATTAGTGTGTTTCATGTAGATAAGGCCAAAGAGTATTCCCACCTACACTCAAATGTTCCAAGCTCATTTTAATTCTGGGAGCTCAACTTACAAAGAGAATTAACATTTCTTTTTATTTTAAGTGGTTTCTATGGATACTGTCTATGAAGCATTGCATTCACATCTATCCAATTTAAGCTTCTCATTTTAATTTAAATACATTTTCAATTCTTCCAGAATCTGTATGTAATACCCAAAGTTCATTTTCTAATAGTAAACTACAAAAAGTATTTATGCACACAAATTTTTAAATTAGTATGTTTAAAGGTTTAAAAAGAGAGGGAAACTTCAACAATGCAGAAATTCATAATCTCAGAATTGGAAGTCTATTTTTATTTGCATAATAATCACTAAAATCCTGGCCTGTAATCCAAAGTATCATGTTTTCTGGTTTCACCTTTTTCAGTCATTTTGAAATGTCTTTCTTTAATTTTGTTGTACTGGAGTTCTTTCATTGGACAGCGTTGGGATTACTGTTTCTATGACATTTAAAAGTAAATAATAAAAGTTTAATTTTCAGTTTCTATTTACTCTAGAAAACTTCAGGGGAAAAATTATTTTTGAAGAAGGTAACTTCAGATAACTTATGTAACATGGCCAGAATGTGCTAACCTAATAAGAATTTTTATTTTTTTAAATTTCCATTTTTCCCCAAGAACTGTAATTAATAGAAGAGATGGGAAGTCACTTCCAGCTTTAAAAAAAATCTGATATTTTCCGATACCACACAACCTCTGTGTGCTCAGCTTGGAAACCAAGGCCTTGCTCATTCTGGCCCCAGACCCTGGGCCTCCCTGGGGCCTGCACTGCACTGCACTGCACTGCACAGGCAGCGCCCGCCGAGCTCTGGGGGTCCCTCGCTGACCTCTGACCTGTGCACTCAGGATTCTCTCTCCCTTTGAAATGCCTCTCCAGCCTTCAGAGTCTGCTTCCCTGGCTCCAACTCAGCGGGAGGCTGAGCTGTTCCTGGGGCGCCTTTCCTGACCCCTCAATTCAGAGAGCTCCTTGGGGTGCAAAATGGCTTTCCTCCTCCTTCTCCTCCTCCTTCTCCTCCCCGGAGGCCCCAGTGGTACTGATTTATTTTGTCTTCCTTTTCAGACATAGTCCGTGTACAGAGGCATGAGTGTGTGTGTGTGTGGTTAACACAAATGGCAGCATATTTTATGTCACCCTGCAGAGTGGGCACACACCATCGGGCAGGCCGTGCCCTGGCCCAGGGCGCCCAGTGGGAAGGACCCAGGCGTTCAAGCTGTCCAGGTCTCGGTAGCCAGCCATGTGTTTGGAGCCCTTCCTGTCATCGGGAGAAAGAGTGACATCACTTTCTGACCACAGCGGTGTGTCTGGCTGAGCTCTGTAACAACGGGTAGACGGACAAACCTCTGCAAGGAAGCCCCAAAGGGAGAGGAAAGCCTGGGAGTTTTGTCATGGATGGTGGGACGGAATGAAAGGGTTCCATCTGAGCACTAGGCAGTAAAAAGGGCTCTCAGCCAAGGCTGTTCAGCATCCTGTGAGAAATTCCTCCCTCCCTCCCGGAATGGGGCAGGACAAGGAGGGAGGGGGGCGGGGGGAGCAGCCGGCCACCTCCTAGGTTTACAGCCCGCCACAGGGAGAATGACAACAGCCGAGTGGGACCCTGTGGCCCTGTGGTTCTCGGGGGTGGTGTCCCCGACCCATCGGGAGGCACAGCCTGCAGACCAGAGTGTCCCCTAAGTGCCACCCCTGTGCCGCCCTCACCCACAGCAGACCCTGGTGGCAGTTGCTGTCCTGCTGTGCATTCTCCTCTCACTTTCATTGCCCTGTAAAATCTCTCCCTCTTCTTCACCTTGCACCATTTCAGGAGAGGATTTGGTGACAAATTCGTGTTAAAACACTGTCCCTGGGAACAAGATTAATCTGCAAGACTTGTCATCAAGCACTAGCCCGCCTCTCTGGACTTACCAATTTGCAAGTTGTCGGTGGATATATTCATGGGCATTATTGTTTTTCCCATGACATAGCTATGCAAAAATTTTTCATGAGCCAGGAGAATACTATCAATGCTCATATTTTGAAGCAAGAATTTAAAAAATTTTTACGAGTCAGGGTTATGTGGAGTTTATTAAATCTTTTTTTAAAAGTTGCAACGCAATAATTATACCATTTTTTCTTTTCTCCAAATTAATCTAGATGCTGAAAAACATGAAAAGTACCATTTCCAACTGGGTGTCAGTTGCTGAATGTGTCAAAATCCTATACTCCCTGGGTTCCAGAAAGAATCCATTTGTAATGCGCCTCACTCCAGGGCTCCACTTTTGATGTGTTTCTGCCCTCATTTTCCACAAGTGAAATCCAAACCTAGGTTTCTTCTCAGAAAAATACCCACATCCTTCCACTTTGAGCCTGAGATTTGGCCAGGACCACATCTCCTGCCGATGAGGACCCAGAGATCCATTCCCAGGTCCAGCCACTTCTATGTGTTCGATAAGTCTGTCCCATCTCTAACCCTACATTCGCCCTCTAAGAATTTTACTGCAAATGTTGCTGTCATTCTTTATACAACATGTTGCATCCCGGGCAGAATCACAGGGAGACAATGATAAGGTAGATGCAGGATTATTTGGAATGTCACAGACAGTTGGCACTTAATCCTATTTTGTGACCACAGAAAGCACTCAACCTCTACATTATGTGTGTGTGTATGTATGTATGTATTCTTTGAGACAGGATCTTGCTATGTAGTTCACTATGAACTCACCAAGTAGCCAGGCTGACCTTAGACTCAGTGATTCTCTTGCCTCAGTCTCCTAAGTGCTGGGATCACAGGCATGTGCCACTACATCCGGCTTTAAACCTTTATCTTTTTAATGGGAAATCAAATAATATGCCAGTCACCATTGGCCCCTCAAAGCTGAGCTTTCTGTTGATTTCTTATCCTCAGTTCAGTGCTGACCGGAAGCTCAAGGAAGCATGAGGCAGACGAAGAAGAAGATGGAGGTGGTGACAACAGCAGGAGCAGTAAGTACACTTTGAGTTTGGCTATTTCAGGGCTCCAAATGCCAGGGGGCCCGCAGCGCCCTGCCAGAGCAGCCTGCTTTGTGTCAGGTAAGGGCTCCCTGGGAACAGTTGCCAACAGAGCTCGGGCGTCCTGATGGGGCAGACAGGGCAACTCGACTCCATCGGAGACTTGGGTCATTTCCACACCCAAACTCACAGGGTCACCGACTGCTCCCAGCTGTTCTCCTGTGCGGGTGAGACGGGCAGCACCTTCCTCACTCATTCCAAGGGTCAAGGCCAAGGCCAGTGGGCCTGTCACAAGACAGGTCCACAAGAGAAAGGGTAACACACTTATTTGACCAAAGCTTGCACGATATAGGAGGCTGCAGGTACAGTAAAGGCCCAGAAAGGGTCTGGTTTGATGAGGCACAGAACAGACAGTCGTTGGACATTGCTTGGACAAAGGGGACCATCCAAGGTAGCTGGCTGAGAGCAGAAACCCTGCAGGACCTGTCTGCTCCAGTGCTTTCTGGCCCCTCTGGGTTCCAGTCCTTCCTTCGGGGTGGGGGACAGCACTCCTCTGGAATGAGAGTCTTCAAGGGAGAACGGAGAGAGATCTTTCTAGATTTTATGGCTTGCTTTCAAGGAAAGGGGTTCTAGTTTCTATGACCCTTCTTGAGGAAGAAGAAATCTAGTTCCTATGACTCAGTTCCAGGAAAAAACAAGGAGACAAGACAGCAGGAAACGGACCAGGATACCGCCTAGGTTTCCCCAGGGTCCTTTAGCTCAAACCACTCAGGATAACAAGGCGGAAACCACTCAGGATAACAAGGCGGAGTACTTTAGTTTCCTTGTTCTGAGAACCTATGTTCCTAAGAGATCATTTATCTCTCCTAAAAGTCATTTATTTTCCCAGAAGTACCCTTCTGCCCTACTACGATGGTATATAAGCCCCAAATTCCAACTTCCCCCTTGAGTAATCATGAACTCCCACGTACACTGTGTGTGTGAATAAAATCTGTCTTTTGATGGTTTAATTAGCAGGGGCCCACATACTGCTCCTGGAAGGATAGATGCAGTGGTGGCAAACCTCTGGCATATGTGCCATAGGAGGCTGTTTGTTATCATCGTAAGCTCTAAAATGTTTGCCATCACTGGGATAGAGGACAGATTTTTCCTTCCCAACAGCATCCTCCTCCTCCTCCTAGGAAAATATTATTCAAGTCCCAGCCCAATGCTACAATTTTCCTTCAGTGGGAAGTGCTGTCTCCTTTTGACTGTCAGGAAATTTGCTTATATCTCCTGTGTTTCATATCTCTTTTGGAGTATTTCTTCCACCTATCTTGAGATAATGTTTGCCTTTGTATCACTCTTTCATATTCTAACGCGTTTTAAAACGGTTCTTCCCCCGTTTGGGTTTTCAGCAGTAAGGACCATATGTTGTGCACGTGAAGACACTAGGGAAGCATCCAGAGCGGGACTGTGGTTGGGGGAGGCGATGGCACCCATGCAAGGGACTCTGCACTCGGCCTGTGTAGCTGGGCTGTGGAAGTTGCCTCCCAGCCGTTAGCCTTGGACAAGTCCCTTCCCTTCTCAGCCTCAGGTTCCTCCTCTGCAAGATGAGAATAATGGCACCCTGGAGAACTCTCCCGAGCTGTTCTCTCTGAGCCACCTGGCAGAGCAGAGCGGCTGAGAGGTCAGAGACACTGAGGGGGCTCCCTCCTCCTTGCTTCCTCCACACCCGACAGGGCCTGAGCTGGAGCGACTGGGCTTTTCACACGTTACCCGCCACCTCCATCTCCAGAGCCTGACACCCTCCCCTCACTCCTGACCGGCCCCAGCGGCTGGGCGAAGTCCCTTCCAGAGCCACACAGAGTAGCAAGCGAGGACCCAGAGCTCTTCCTGCTGCCTGGGCAGCTCACTGTCACGGGTGTCCAGGGCACAGGGAGACTGGACTGGCCAGCGGCTGGGAGCTGAGGCCCAGGGAGTTCGACCACATGGTGGCCACGAGGTGCCGCAGCTGCTGGGGACAGATTTGGCAGTACTGTTGGGCAGCGGAAGTCACCAGGCCGGGGGGAAAAGTGCTAGAAAGGGAAAGGAATGTCTACGTGGGGTTTCTTTCTCCCCCTCCATGGGCTCCACAGACACCTTCAGCTTCCTGAATTCCCCAATCCCATCCCGTTCCCAGCCCCGGAGTTTGGGAATGCAGATAGATTTAGTGAGGCTTTTTGCTCTCTTTCAACTTGTGCAGAAATCCCAACCCTGTGCAGCGTCTCCCCTCTGACTCGGAAGCTGCCTTCTGCACGCATGTTTAGGGTCAGTGCTTCCCGGCCCTGTGAGCTGCAGGAAATGACCTGCAGGGACCGGGAACCCAGAGAGGCTCTGCCACTGTCTCCCAAGCTAGGCCCTCCCCTCTGCGCCTCGTCTAACTCATATGAACTCCCTGAAGTGCTGGGAGGGGACCGGCACTGGTCTGGCCCTGCAGAACCCAGAAATCATGGTCCAGGCTATTGTTATTGGCATTATTAAAATTCACAAGTACTCCTTTGTGGGTGATGTAAAAGTATTTAAAATATTTATTTTTATTTTTTCAGAGAGAGGGAGAGAGGATGTGACAAAGTAGAGCAGCCACAACTCTGCCCTCCAGGACACAGAGCTCTGCAGGGCAGGACAAAGAGCTTCCTCCTCCTCCTCCTCCTCCTCCTGCTCCTCACCACGTTCCCACATCTAAGGGCCATCCCCAGGAGGGAACAAGCCTTTCCCAGCAGCAACCTTTATCTTGCAACCCCTGTTATCTAAACAAAGCCCTAGGGGCCCTCAGCCTTACCTGAGCAGCTCCCTCCAGCATTTACATAAAGTCGGCTCTGGAACACAGCTGCAGAGGCTGGGGTGACAGGCCTGGCAGTCAGGGGGCACTTTTTGAAAGTTTGCTTCAGCATGGAAGGACTGGGTCTGTAGGAAGGCAAAGGGGTGTGCACAGGCATATTACTTACCTAATTTAAGACTTTCAATATAGAAATGGACTAGAGCACACAGGACAAATGCTAACATAAATGAACTCTTCATGTTATGGAACTATACACCGGGTGACTGAAATATAGTTAATACCTAAATTTAAAATATCGATTACAGTAAAAGACACATTCCACTGATCTCTTTCAAAACACCTCCTCCTCCTTCAAACACTCGTCCCATCGTCCTTGGATGTTCTGCAGCAGCTCTGGAGTCCTCCTTCCGGAGTGTCATTATGAAGTGTGATCAAAAACACAGTGAATGCTGCTGCTGTGTGCCATCCAATGGAAAGGCAGCTCATAAAAACACGACACTGTGTCTTCATCCACTTCCTTCATTGGATCTGGCACTGGGTGACTTCTGGTTCCTCCCCAGAGTCAAAATGACCATGAAAGGGAGATGTTTTGAATCCATTCAGGACACTGAGGCAGCCAGGAAAGCACAATGAACAACACTCACAGAGGAGGACTTCCAGAACTGCTTCAGAAAGTGGCAGGATGTTGGGATAAATGTATTGGAAGTGAGGATGAGGATTCTGAGGAAGATTAATGGCAGTGCGTCTTTTACTGTAATCAGTTTTTAAAATTTAAATATTCACTGTATTTTTTTCAATCACGCCCCATACATTACATCTGTTCTATATACTATTTTATGCTTTGTCTATTTTGTATTTTACTTTATTTTATTTATTTTTATTTTTTTGCGGTACCGGGGATCGAACCCAGGACCTTCCGCTTGCGAGGCAGACATGGTGCCATTAAGCTAAATTCCCAGCCCTATTCTGTATTTTAGAGGATGATGCCTGGATTTCACCACCTGAAGCATGTGGATTTGATGTCTGCAGGCTCTTGCCTTCTGAAAACACATCTTCCCAGTGACTTTAAGGGTCAGGCATCGCAATACTCGTTTTACAGACAGAAAAAGTGTGAGCCACAGAAACAGTGGTTAGCTCGAGATGGTCCAGCTCTGTGCGACTCCACTGGGCTTCAAACCAGGCAGCCTGGCTTTTGGACCTTCCTCTGTCACTGCCACCACCACTGGGAACCAGAGCCACGCACAGAGGAACTGTGTCCTCTGGCCTCCTCCTAGAGTCCAAACCAGGCAGGGCATGTGGGTGTCGTCCCCAAGGCGGCACCAGCTAAACATTTGTAGACCTTTGCAATTCCTGATCCTCTCTCGGTGAGAATCTTACACCACAGCTTTAGGGGATCTCTGGCCACGCTGTGAAGGCCGCAGCTTTAATACCAAGGTGTTTTTCACCCCCTAAGAACTAGTTTTCACCTTCATGGCAGCAGTGTCATCCACCGCTGAGAATGAGTGCATTAGAAAACCCCAAGAGCTTGTGTATTACCGTCATTTATCCAACAGAACAAAGTACAGTCTGAAACAGATTCTCCCCGCCAAAGGCTGAGATCACAGGAAATATGGCTAAGGGAGAATTCCAGCTCTTTCTTCTCCTCTTCTGTGGCTATGTTTGAGGGGTGGCATGACTAGGGGTATGTGGGATGGAAAATGAGTAACAGGAAACTGGCCCCAAGCTAGGGCTTCCTGTTGTCCCTTATTATCCAGAGTCAGTTTTCTTTCTTCTTTTTTTGTTTTCCAGAGTCAGTTTTCAATTCTGCTTGCTAATGAGGCCCAGCCAGGGGATGGGTAATTGAAACCCACATGCTGGGCATCCCCAGGCCTCATTTACAAAGTGCTCCCAGCTTCTTCCTGAACCTCTGAACATGCAAGACCTGGCTGGGATCATCGCCCATCTTCTGCTATTGTTCCCAGCTCAGATGGAGCGGAAATGACAGCCAGGATTGGTGGGGAGGATGGGGTAGTGGGCCAGGGTCCCATCCCCGGCTCTGCAAAGAAAAAAGTCATGCCCTTGTTCCGCTCACAGCTATTTCCACAGCCTCGGGCATCACGTGGAGCTGGCCTTTGGGAGACTACTTGGATCCTGTCCCTGGGCCACGAGTCCAGTTTATCCCCCTGGTGGCTTCCACATATGGTAGCAATTGCCCTCCTCCCGATAAAGCTGTGAAATTGCCTTCCCCTGCATCCCATTAAGCAATGGTGGAGTCAGGGTTCAAAGCCAGGTATTTTAATCACAAGCACATCCCTTTGTGGCATCATCAAAGCATGATGAAGAAAACCTGGATGGACTTAGGAACCGTTCAATTCAATTCACGTGCAGGCAATTTGAGTTGTTGATTAACTTAACTGTGAATGATTTGAACTTTAAAGTTAGATGAACTAGCTTTATTTCTTCCTGAGCATGTGTCCATAAGAAAGTTTTGTAACAGTTCTTACATTGCATCAACACTCTAATCAGTAAAACTGTATGGCTGTGAATAAAACATAGTTGGGAGCGGTGGAGCATGCCTCTAATCCCAGCCCTCTGGGAGGTGGAGGCAAGAGGCTCACAGGTTTGAATTCCAACCTGGGAAAGTTAGCAATTTAGCAAGACCCTGTTTCAAAATTTAAAATTTGAGAAAGACTTTGAAAGGTAGTTTAGTGCAAAGGCCCTGGGTTCAAGTGGCAGAAAGAAGGAAGGAATGAAGGAAGGAAGAAATTAAATGTTTTCAAGCACTTTGTACAGAAGGTTCTCGGGCCGGGGATTTAGCTCAGTGATTGTGCCGCCTGCTTTGAAAGCGCAAGGTCCTGAGTTCAGTCCCCCCCACCCCGTACCAAAAAAAAAAAAGTTAGATACTGTACAGAAGGTTCTCAGTTTACAGTGGGATTACATCTCAGTAAACCCATTGTAATTCAATGTGTGGTTTCTGCTGGATTCATATCGCTATGGCATCTTTATAAAGTCCAAAGACAATGTTCAAACCGTCATAAATTGGAGAAGATCTGCCCATCATCTGCATCAAAACATCCCATTTCCTGCCCCACCCATGTTGGGTCCTCCTGCCATTTATTTGCCTTTTGTCCTAAGCTGTCCTGCATAGTAATCCACTATTCTCAAATATCTGTCTGGCCTTCAGAGCTAAATTATGAGAATTTTAGGATAACAAAGCTCACTAGTACAGCACTTGCCTCACATCTATGAGGCTCTGGGTTTTATCCCCAGCAATGCAGAGGAAATAAATTTAGGAAAATGAGCTATTCTCATAAAGGTGGTTCTCAAATTTCCATAGTCAGGTCTTTTCCATCCGTGACATTGAATCCATTGCTCACTGACACTGGTATGTGCTCAGCTAATTCTAGACTTTTATATCCCACCCCAGGAGCCAGGATTTGAACTCTTACGTGGTGGCACCTCTTGGCAGGATGGGTTCTGTTTTGATGATGCCATCTTGTGCAACAATTTTTGTTTTGTCTAATATTAGAATAGCTAATTGAATTTATCTTTATAAATTTATAAGGAGTAAAACGCAGGAGTAAAACATCAGTAGCAATAAATGAAATTGTGCCATGATAGAAGATATCCCCTAAATGGTAGAACTATGGCCTCGAATGAATGTTTATTGGACTTAAGCCTGGAGTCTGTGTCCAAGTGTTAAGGGTGGGAATAAAATGGAACGTCATGTCATGGGTATTTAGTCAGCTCCCTTCCCTTAGACACAATACCAAACACCCACCACTTTTAAAAGGAGTAGTTTATTTTGACTCACAGTTTCAGTGGGTTCAGTCCATGGCTTCAAGGAAGAAACATCATGGTGGAAGGACACAAAGAAAGCAAGCTGCTAGCACTATGGTGGCCAGGAAGCAGAGAGAGAGGAGAGGAGCCAGGGATAAGGATACACCCTTCTTGGGCCAGGGATTTAGCTCAGTGGTTCTGCTGCCTGCCTCAAAAGCACAAGGTCCTGAGTTCAATCCCCGGTACCAAAAAAAAAAAAAAAACAAAGAAGGATACACCCTTCTGGGTCATGCCTGGAATGATCCATCTCTTCATCCCTTACCATCAAGCTCCAGTTCCTAACAATAAATTCAACTATGAACCCATCCACTGATGAGTGTAGCACTCCCATGATACAGTCACCTTCCAAACACATCAGACTTTGGGAGAACATTTTAGATCTAAACCATAGCATCATGTGTGAAATATTGGGAGTTTATCTTTTCTGGCTCTGCCTAAAAGAAGAGGAATGATGGTGGGAGACACAAAGAACTCAGATCATGAGTGTGAATCTTCCTGAGAAATCATCGCTGTGAGCTAGTTGTCAGAGCTAGTCCTCCAAAGGCACAGAGAGGTGAACCCCACCCACTTTCCTCGCTAATGAGACAATGCCAGAATCCTCTCATTTCATACATTCCTTTAAGTTGATAACATAAAGTCGTGGTATAAGCTCCTACTCAGGCTTCTGCATAACCATATTGGCAGACCCTTCTTCTCACAATCAAATGATTTGGGGCTTTTTGTTGGGTTGTTTTGGTTTTTTTTGGTACTGGGGATCAAACTCGGGACCTTGCACTTGCGAGGCAGGTGGCAGAACCACTGAGCTAAATCCCCGGCCCTGGTTTTTTTAAAATTCTGTTTATGAAATGCCACTTTTAGAAAATACGTTCCCTGAGAGGACTATCTTAGTTCACTAAGGTGTATCCTGCTCATCGCCCCTGCCCTGGAACTCCACGCCTGCGTGACACCTTTCTCAACCCTCCAGCCCAGGTGAGCCACCCTAGGTAACACCATGGGGAACAGAGATGACCCACTATGCCTGCCGTACTGGAGAGTCATAGACAAAACATGGCCGCCATTGCTGTCAGCCACTAGGGTCCTGCTTAATTTCGTAGGCAGCCATAGAGAACTAAAGAGTGCGGTTTACCTGGGCAGAGCCCGTGTTCAGAGTTGCCCTGTCCTATAGTACTTTATCTTCACGGCAGCACCCGTTAACTCCTGTCTTGAGGAAATTCTGTTTCTCCAACTATCGCTCCACTCTCTGGGGACTCCATCCACAGATTTTCAAGGACAGTCAGTGATATTGTAGAAAAAGACTTGGCCATAAGCTCTAGGGAAGAAAATGGTATTAACCCAGTGGATGACGGTGACACATGGGTGCACACAGCAAATGCAATCTCGCTTCCTTAGAAAGTGACAGATAATTTCACACATGCACAAACATGCCATTTTAAGTCCCAATTCTAATGCACTGTACAACCAATGTTTTAGTACAAGTAAAAGAAGCAGCCACTTCTTTTCACCAAGCTACAGCTGCTTTCATTTCCCAATCCTTTTCCAGCTGCACTAAGGGTGAAGCCTAATTTTAGCTGGTTAATTATCCAACTTCTCTTTCATTGGCACAGACACTGACATGAACCAGGAGCCAAGCAGGAAACAAGGGAGAGGAAGTAAGGAAGTGTCCTGTCTTCCTGGAGGCTTTCGGGGAGAGTTTTCAATGGTTAATTTACCCTTCTTCGTTTATTTAGGCAATAAGCATCGTCACAAATATCTTAAGTACTCTGCATTTCTTAACATTCTTCAGCTATGCAGTTACTCGTTCATTGCTGTTATTGTTGTTTGGGTGTTTTTGTTTTTTTGCCAAATTAGACTGGAAGGGACAGATGAAGCCGGATGTATCAAGCACTATCTTTCTAGCATCTAACAGTGCCTGGCACATATAGCCTCAGGAGGCATTAAGTAAATATTTGTTGGATTGAAGTAGGGAGACAGTTGCCAAACTAGAGGTGACAAAAGAGAAAAAGGAGAAAATGGCCCTTGTTAAATCTCATGGTGGGTGAGAGTCTATGTATTTAAGGAGGGCAAGCATGCCCTAATGTACTTTATAATAAATGTGCTCTATTTGATTAATGCTGCTAGTTAGAATTTGGGTCTGCTGGAATAAAAACGATGAAGCCATCTCTAGAGACATTGTGTATTCGGCTCATTTAATATTTATATTGAGCTTCTTAACTCAGGAGACCAAAAATAATGGTGGATCTGCAGAATGATATTCGGAAGGGTGGGCTACAGCACCCCATCCCTCTGTCCCAGATAAAACAACATAGACTGAGTTAAATGTAGGGCCCCTCTTAGGGGTGGAGGGAATACCCCAGAATACTCAGATAGGACGTAACATCCTTTCTGTCTCTTTCCCCACAAGACTGTAAGAGAGATTTGAAAACTAAGTTTGCTACTGCACAGAAATAAAGCCATCTAAGTAGGCGGGAAGACCAGGCTAATAGGCAGCGCTACTAAAAAAAAAAAAGTTAATAAATCCAGATTCTCCCCACCCTGTCTCTGCAATTCCCTACCAGGATAGGACTGCCCAAGACTGGCCAGGTGACGACGTCACTGGCCCACGCACCACACTCTGAAGATGGAGAGCCAGGGCACTGTTGTCATCCACAGGGTCACAAGTGGGTGACTGATGTCTCTATTCCTATTTTCAGGAAAGGGAAAAAGAACAAGCCCAGGACAAGACATTAGAAACAGCTTCTGCTGCCGGGCAGTAGTCAAGGACTGAGTGAAGAGGCCACAGCTATCTTGGGGACAACAGAATTGCTTGTCTCTAGCTGGGCAGCCTTGTTAGTCCTTAGAGAGGGAAAGCACTGTTAATTCAGGCAAGGAGAGTGGACACTGGTTGGCTTAGCGGTCCACCTTACAGACACGAAGGGGTCAGGGTGTACAATCTAACAGCGGAAGTAAACTCTAACACCGGGAACTACAGGTTTAAAATGGGCCGGCACTGCTCGGAAACCTCTGCACAGAGTGCACAGAGGGATTGGCTCAGAGCCGAGCGGCGTCTGGCGCGCTGCGTTCAGTTCCAGTGCCCAGCGTGCTTGGACGCCAGGCGGCCTGTGGCAGTGTGACAGGTAGCCAGGAATGACTCTGAGACTATTTTAGAAACACACAGGACTCTGACATCTGCCTATGGTTTGAGAAAATAAATGTAAACAAAAACCAAGAACAAACACAGGATTTTAGTAAACGACACTAGGCCCAACGCTAAGATAACACAAACAAATTAGGAGCTTCTGGACATAGCTAACTAACATGAATTTATATCCCTAAGGCCAACAGCTTGTTGAAGACACATTTCAAAATTGTTTCTAACTAAATAGAGAAAAAATTCATTGTTTAGCCCCCTGAATGTGATACATGTTTAAAGAATATTCAGTTGGATAATACATTTTAGGAGCTTTCAACAATGCAAATTGTATAACTTTGTCTGGTATTCCCTACTCGCATCACTTCATCGTCTCCTTTCAGCATCTCATCCTCTGTATGAGATCCTTTCGTATGCGATATAGTTAAGATGAGTACCCTATTGTGCTTCTGGGACTGAAAGAGCATTGTCAACCATTAGGCTGGGTGTAAGTCCCTGTGTGAGCCAGGACTGTCCTGGGTAATCCAGGATCTAGAACTCTCGGTGTAGTACTATTGATCATATGTTCTTCCAGCAATTCTCAGCAAAGGTAGTGAATCTTAATTGTTATATTAGTTAGGCTTTAAAGATTGTAATGAATGATCAGTAGCTCATTACCTTAGGTAATGAGAGTGTGTTGCAGATATTTTATGTAATAAAAGTAAAGAAGAATTGTAACTAGGACCCAGGCTTAGTGACACAATCCTGTAATCCCAGCCCTTGGGAAGCTGAGGCAGGAGGATCATCGTGAGTTTGGGGCCAGCCTGGACTACACAGTGAGTTCGAGGGCAGCCTGAGCTACATAGTAAGACCCTGTCTCAAAACAAAACAAAAAAACAAAAAGAATTATAACTAGGGACCTGGGTAATTATCACTAGTGACCTTCATTCTGCTTTCAAGAATGGAATGTGAAAGAAGTTTAGAATTCACATATCATTCAGGGTACAACATAGATGCAATAATCTCCCCTCTCCATATGTCTCTGTTGAGCAGGACTCTTGTCAGGTCCTTTGAAGGCTGTCAGACTTCCTCACTTCAGTAAGAGCCAGGGCACAGGGATGGCTTAATTCATTGAAAATGTGAACTCTAGGTAGACTTTTTGTAAAAAACAACTACTTGAGAGTCATTTACTCTGACGACAGCATGCCGTTAATGCTGCTGGTTGCATGACCCTCTCATGCACATTGGACTTCCCGACATTTCACTAGGGAAACAAGTTTACCACATTGTATATTTATTTCCTTTATGCTTTCTGCTTTACAGGAGGGAAGCCCTTGACGGATTGGGCATTCTGTTCTGACCATAAAGCTTACCAGATCATTTGATTATTCCTCAATAGCAGGTCTATCATTAGAAGAATGGAAGGAGGTGAATGTGAAGATCAGAGAAAAATACAAATTCTGTACCTTATGAGATACGTGGTAGAAGCTCCTAGAGTGACAGTGTGTGGGATGTGCCTCAGTGGTATTGACCGTCAGATTAGACCTGACCCAAGAGGAGACTGGGGTGTCACATGGACGGCGCTAACTCAGAATCACCTAGAGTGGATGAGAGAAGCATTGTGCAAGAAAGGGAGGCAATCGTGGAACTTGAGAGAAACCAGACACTGCTGCCTGAAACTACAGAGGCTCCAAAGGAGGCTGCAATGTGGTTAGGCTTAAGAGAGGAACAGGGCAGGAGATCAGGGCAGGGGATTCTGTCTATGGCTCCCTGAATATGCAAATCGGGTAGAGAATTTCTAAATGCAAGACCTTCAGGATGGCTCCCCTGTGGTGGGAAATAGCCCTTATATCAAAAGGAAGCTATTTAGACTGCCCGATTCAGGCAACCAGAGATCATGTCCTGAGATGGCCGTTCAGACCCATGGCCTCCCACTGCTGGCCAAAGGGTGCAGCCCGGCAAGGAGACCAGGCGTGGGCAGGGTAGGAGAGCTCTAGGGAGAGCCCCGCTTGTGGGCTTTCAGCAGTGTGCCTATTAGTGTGTGTTTGTGACACCAGAGGAGTGCACGCCTCCTGGAGAGTTGTTACTTACACACGGCACATTTAGTCGTTCTTACCCCCTCCCCAGTCATCCTCGGTTCCTAGGCCTCCTTCCCAACTTCAGAAGGTCTCCCTCCCTGTTCCTTGTCATACATCTTTTATTTGCACTTTAAATTATTTATATTTTGGGTTTCTGGTATGAGAGAGTCCATACGATGTTTAAGCTCCTATTTCTGATTCATTTCACTTAACATCATGGTCTCAACGTGCACCCATTTTCCCACAAATGACTCAAGCCTATCCTTCCTTATGGCGCAGTAGTGCTCCACTGTGTGTAAATACCACACTTTCTTTATCCCTTCATCTGTTGATAGACACATAGGCCACTTCCAAGATTTGGCTATTGAGTTGTGCTGCTATAAACATGGGTGTACATGGACGGATCCCTGTGGTGTGATGTCTTTAAGTCCTTTGAGAAGATCCCCAGAGAAGGTACAGCTGGGTAGGATGGAATTTTTGGTTGTTTTTTGAGGACTCTTTGGTTTTCAGCCTTTTCCGTGCTACGCCAGATGCCCGCCATCCTGTTAATAACCTCTAAATACTCCTGACAAGAAAAGTTGGTGGCGCACAAGAAAGCTTTACAGGACAGATGGATCATTGGTGTTTTTGTTTCTCTATTTCCCCCTCAAATGCAAAGAGCCTGGATGCCTAACATCTCCCCTTTCCACAACACAGAAGCCAAGCCTTGAAGTACACAAGAGTAGAAGAACTGTTTGGCATTTTTCACAAGTTAAATAAACTAAACTACGACGTGTTCGACTTGCTAATGTCTGAGCCCAGTGAGTTCTCTTAATTACATTCCTTTTCAGGGGCAACAGAGCCCGTAGCTGGGACTAAAGAAGGAGCACATAGAGCTAGTTAGCCAACTTGAGTCTGAGTCAGAGATACAGTACCCAGCTGTGAAGCATGGCTCAGGGCTTCCTGTTCACCAAATCTATTTGCCTTCTCCCTGAAATATTTCTCAGACTTGTTTGCAATTAGATGTGATCTTAGGGTGACTCAGCTAAGAGTGTGAACCAAATACACAACTGGAGACCTGCCTGATAATTTTCCCTTCCACCATAACTGCTGGGGGAAATGTGCTGTAGATCACTATGGCCAGGGCTAACTCGAATCCTCCCTGATGAGGCAGGGCCCCGGGGGAGGAGAACAGGTCTTCCTTCCCACCCATTGGCCAGAGAAACATCAAGCATGAGGTCCTGCAGACCTTAGCTCCTGTGGACCAGCCCCCTGCACCTCCCCCTGCACTTCCCCTACCTCTACCATTATAAATAAACATGCGGCCCTTTGTGTGGGGCTTTCCCCCCCATCAGGGGTTAGAGCCCCACGGACCCCACCTGTACCTTATTATAGCTCTTGTCTGTGTTTCTTAATCTCTCACCACCATTTCTCAGTTTCTCACTCCGTGAACCGGGCCAAATAACAAACGGTATTTGTTTTCTTTCCTATCCCCCTGATTTAGCGACAGTAAATATAGTAACCTGAGAAGGCACAGGTTAAAAACAGCAGAATTGTAAGATAAAATAAGGCTGCATCCCTAAATTTTCCCTTGAAGTACTCACTGCCAATGAGAAATACCTGCTTTGGACGGCGGTGCGTTAGTGAAAAATGAACACCTTTTCATTATGCCGTAGATGTTGGTATCTATGTCCTACTACAGTAGCCCCACACTGATTCACATGCAGAGAAAACCTGATGGGACTTAGGCTTGAAAACCCTTAAAATTACCACACCCACGTCCCTCAATATGCAGACATGTAGAGAGACACAGACAGAGGTCAGCCTAGCACCAGAACCACGTGCCATTTCTTAGCCAGGATTCACTGAAACTGCACTGTGCTAAAACGTAATTTATTAGCTCACTTAGCTGAAAATTTTATGAGTAGAGCTGAATCCAAAAACGGAGACAAGATCATTAGGATTCGGCCTTGGTCCTTTCTCTGCTGTTCTTTCCCCTGGGCGGGCTCTATTCTCAAGAAGGATTCCATTTCCGGGGGCAAAGCATTCACTGGCAGCTCCAAGACAACCCAAACAAGAGAGTTTGTCTTGTATCACAATTTCTTTTTCCATCCATCAGTTGATAGACAAAGGTTGTTTCTATTTCTTTGCTGATGTTAATATTATTTTTAAATTATGCTTATTCTTAATAAATAACTTTAAAATATTATAGTAATATTAATATTATATTAAAGTCTTCATTTCATAATGCAAAAAAAAAAAAGAATTTGTCTTTATCAGCACTTCAAACAAAAATCCAAAAATACTCATTTCTGATCAGCCTGGCCTCAGTCATGTGCTCACCTGTGAACTAATCTCTGCGGCCACCACCCAAGTGGACTAGCTGGTGACATTAAGCCCAGTCTTTCCAATAAGATCTTGGAAAGTCAGAAGCCAGGGTTTTTACCTTGCTTACCTAGTCTTTCCATCTTTATCCTAAGACCATGGACCTTGCATTTATTCATGGGGCATCTGCCGTGTGCCAGGGTCCATGCAAGCTGGTATGCAGATGGAAAGATGAATAAGACATAAGCCATTCACTCAAAGAACACTCAGTCCTGGGGCATGAACAACTACCTGGCCACTAAATAATCCTTAGAGCAAGCTATCAGTCAAAACTTCAGTATGCTTAGAGTTCATGATCATGATTTCTGGGACCTTGTGTTGATTTGAATCCACAAAAAAATTGCTTCTACTTAAAAGAGTAAAAGAGTATAGCAGTTAAAATGGTGAGTTAAAAGCCAATTAAAACATTGTGGCTATAGCTGGCATATCTATATTCTGAGAACCCAGGACTCTGAGAACCCTGCCTGGGCAATTTAGCACTTACCAAAACTTTGTCTCAAAATAAAAAAATAAAAATGTCTAGGAATGTAGCTCAGTGCAGAGGCCCTGGGCTTAATCTCCGGTACTCTACCAAAGAAATTATAGCTTGGTAGACTGAAGATGTAGCTCAGTGGTAGAGCACTTGCCTAAAATGTTCAAGGCCTGCAGTTTGATCCTCAGCAAAACAAGCAAACAAATTGTTGTTGGGAAAAGTAGACAAGCTTTGTTTATCCCTTGCAATACCTTATTCCAACTCTTCCTTCCATCTCTCCTATTCTAGATGGTGTGGTTCTCTTTCACATGGTCAAAGACAGAATGTCAGTTGTGACAGTTGAACTGGATTGCCAACTTGATTGGATTGAGAGCTGCCCATGGGATCAGTAAAGCCCACTTCTGGATGTGTGCAGTGGGTCATGGAGGTGAGGCCCTGGGTACTGTAATTGCTCCCTTCCTCTCTGCCACCATTGCCCTGCTGTGCTGCCTGCTTGCTGGGAACTAGACAACTTTGCTCCACCACACCCTTCCACCATGATGCTCCTGCCTCAGAGCCAGCCAACCAAGGACTGAACCCTCTGAAACCATGAATGCCAAATAAACCTCTCCTCCTTCAGGTTGGGGGTGTCAGGTACTTTGTCCAGCAACAGAAAAAATGACCAGTATACCAATACGTCTTCTCATTCAGCATTTCTGCAAGCAGAAAAGGAAAAATATTTAAGAGAAAGGCATATTTTTGGCTTTTGAAAACATAACCCAGAAGTTATACCTATCACTTCTGCTCATATTCTATGGGCCACAGGGAGGTTGATGATGATCTTTTACAGCTAGGAGTTCCAGTAAAAAATAAAAAGAATGGATGGTAGGTGACTGCTAATCACCATGGAAATAATGATCCAACTTGTCAATAAATGATTAGGGAGTAGCACAGGCATTGTTTAGTAGACTCACTATCACAGGAGCTGGAGGCTCAGACTGTGGAATGGTTTGCCTAAGATCTCACAGCAAGCAATCAAGGGGTTCTAGGACATAATTCTGCACTAGTCAATTTCAAATGGTAGATTGCTTCTGGTAGTGCTGCCTTTCAAAGTGCTATTTCAAATGAATATTAAAAAAGTAATAGTAGGGCCGGGGATTTAGCTCCGTGCTTCTGCTGCCTGCCTCGCAAGCGCAAGGTCCCAAGTTCAATCCCCGGTACCAAAAAAAAGTAATAGTATAAGATATCAATATATTTTTGCAAGAAACATGAAAAGGTAAAAATAGTGATTTTGTTCATTGCACAGTTGATAGAGCTTACATACCCAAGCTGATGGTGTCTGTAGTGGCCCTGATGCCCTTCCTCCCTAAAGGCTGGCTTCGCAGTCAAGGTCACCAGCTAGAGGACATCAAAGGTGGGACACGAGGAGAGGCAAGAATGTGTCTTCTGAGTGGTTTCCTAATTGTTCAGGCTGAGGAGCTCTGTGTCTCCAGTTTTCTCTGCCCCAGTATAACAAGCTGACTGCAAGACTGTGTTTCCCCACTTACAGAGCACATGCAACATAACCAGTCATTTAGCCCTGTGAGCCTGAATTTTGTCATGGTGACGGGGCACGAACCTCACCAAAGGTTTCTCAGGAAAGCACTGAGACAGTGCATGAAGATCACAAGCCTTTGTGGAAGAGAAGGCAAGGCTCTGCCATGACCAGGCTAGACTGCCTTCTCCCCTTGACTCAAATGAGCCCTAGGATTAATGAGAGAAAAAGCTCATACGCCATTGATATTAGCATTGACAATCCCATAAATTTGGATTTATAAAAAGATTTTGAGGGCTGGGGATATAGCTCAGTGGCGCTGCATCTGCCTCGAAAGCGCAAGGTCCTGAGTTTGAGCCCCTGTACTGCAAAAAAAAAAAAAAAAAAAGACTTTGAGAGCCAAGCACGTGCCATACACCTATAATCCCAGCTGCTCAGAGGCTGAGGCAGGAAGATCAGAAGTTCAAGGCCAGCTTGCATAACTTAGCAAAATCCTATCGCAAATTTAAACTGGTACAGTACTCATCCAGCTTGTGCGAGGCCCTGGGTTCAATCCCCAATACTGGTAAAAATGAAAAGGGTTGCGGATATAGCTAAATGGTAGAGCGAACCTGGGTTCAGTCGCCCATGTCACAAAATGAAAGAGGAGAGGGAGAGGGAAGGAGAAAAGGAGGAAAGATTGAGAATATTCTTTAGGGGTTTAGCAGTCTAGATGGTAGACTTGAAGTGTTGTGGATATTTTTTGTTGTTAGAAATAAGATTCTTCACAATGAACATGCAAGAAGTTTAAATCATCATTCATGTTTTCAGATTCGCTTCAGAGGCCATAGTTCTTTCATTCTTACTTTTCGTTCTGAACGTTACTTGAGGACTCTGGGAAGCCTCCCAGGCTGGCGGTTCAAGCCTGGTGTCTCTTTCGTTGTCACCTGCGCAATGCTAAAGGAAACCTTGCATTTTAACAACCCCAGTTTAAAGCCCAACTCACTCTTGATGGGTGAACTCAAAATACTTTCATTTTGTTTTGGTAGAGGGTTTTAAATCGAAGGCAGGTAGATTTCTTTTCAGCCCCCCCCCCAATGTCATCTACACTGTTACTAAATTGCATAGGTTTGCCCTTGAGAGTCCGCACGGCTGTAGGCAGAGGCGTCTTAGCTTGAGATTCCTTATAAAATACACAATGGCCTCCATGTCCTCTCCGGCCCCCTTTCTGGAAAGAGCATGAACAAAGAGAACCAGTGGGTGTCACTAATGCTCCAATGCGTGTGTGCGCGCGCGCGCGCTTTTGCTGGGGATTGAACTCAGGGCCTCATGCTCTCTAAGAAACTCCAGCCCTGAGCTCCATCCCAGCCCTTAAATGCACTAACTTTTCCTCCTGACACACAGACAGCAGATCTCTCCTTCCTGAGCTCTCTTTTCAAGGAAGAAATCCGACAGATGCACAGCTAATCGCTTTCCAGGGCCTTGGAGCTGTTCCTGCATCCGCAGCTTCTGTTTAGACTTGAAAACCTCTCTGCATTATGCCCTTCGCTCCAGAATGTTTGAAGAAAGTAATTAGGGGATTTCCATATTAGCTTTTGGGGGAGCTTTTTGAAACCCTTAAAGGCAGCACACATCCCTCGGCTGTTTTGACCAGACATGAGGAACACTGGCTCTTCCCGCCTCTGTAATTTCCCTTCCACTTATGCAACACAAGAAAACAGCATGGCGAAACCAGTCAACCCGGCAATTATTTTATTACCTGTGCCTATGGAAATCAGATAGGTAGACATAAAAAAACCAAAGTACATATGAGGAAAATAAGAAATTTAGACTTCAGTCCTTTCCATCACAACTGAATCAAAACAATAACTTTTTTTTCCCTTAAATTCTTTTATTGGTACATTTTAGGTACACAATACATTTACATTCATCATTGGGATCTTGTACCTGTACATGATGTATCTTGGTTCTTATTTTTTCCCCATTCCCCTGTTCTCCCTTCACCCTCTCCACCCTTCTCTATTTACAAAGGCTTTGATTCCATTTTTTTCTTTTCTCATAATTTTTCCTTTCCCCTCTTTCCTTTCCCCTTCCCCTCCCACTTCCCCTTCCCCCTTTGGATCTCTTCTTCCTATTTCAAATTACCGATTATTCATTTTAATCATTTTAATCCTTATTTACACTTTCAGTTTCTCACACCAGAGAAACTATTCGGTATTTACACGTGTGTGTCCTATTTATTTCACTTAAGAGGATGGCCTCAATATGCACCCATTTAGCTATAAATATCGCTAGTTTGTCATTCTTATGCCATTCTACCTTCGCAGCCTCAGTGTAGCCTAAATGTATGAAGACTAAAGGTTGAATGGCCCGTAGTTATCGGGTTATCCTCCTGATATTTTGGCTCAGTACACGGAAATACACCCTCACTACATTTAAATGTGTGATCCTGAGTGATTGCTGTTTTACCTCTTTTTTTTTTTCTTTTTTTACTTTTTCACATTTATTACTAAAACATTATTTCTATAATGATAAAAAATGAATTAAACATTGTAAAATCACTTTTATGCTGAGAATGTTCATTTGTGGACTAAAATGTTGATCCTATTGTGTTGCAAAATTTCAAAGAAATGTGAAATGTAAGAATTAACAGTGGTTGACTTTGGTATTATGCTCGACTATGTAACATAATCATTCTTAGAACTCCTGATGAAATCTTTCTTTGATGGCAAGATATCATAATTCTAAAGTCAGTGTATTTGTGTGAAATTGAATTAAACCTACTTCTCTGATGCAGTAAGTCTCAGGTCAAACTGTTCAACCTAGAAAGAGCCTGACTTACCTCCACTGGGAGCTAAAATTCATAGTTTTGTTTCATGCCCATTTTATTTATTTACTTACTTATTTATGTTTTCTTAGACAGGGTCTCCCTATGCAGTTCAGGCTGGCCTTGAACTCACCATGTAGCCCAGGCTGACCTCAAACTTGCAGCAGTCCTGTCTCAGCCTCCCAAGTGATAGGATTACAAGCAAGTGCCACCATGCCTAGCTAAATGAAATTTTATTTTATTTTTCACTTTGACACAGTTCTCCACTAAATCTCTAAAACTCCCGGGCTGGGCTTGAATTTGTAATCTTCCTGCTTCAACCTTCCAGAATGCTGGGATTATAGATGTGTGCCACCACACCCAGCAGCTATTTAGGTTTTAAGTTTTAGTTTCATTTAAAAAACACTGGGGTATCAAATCCCGATCAGAAAATGGAGCAAAGACTTAGGCACCTCTGCTTTAAACAAGGTAAAGTTTCAAATTCCTGAGCATAATGTAACTGTTAATATACTTTGCTACTTTTGATATTTAGCAACAAGATAAATTCTAAAAAAGGTTAACTAATGTTAATATTAGGCAGAGGAACTAGGATAGTCAGGAAAAATTCCTCAAATGAGACACTATAACAATCCTTTTCAGTTTAACTTATAAAATCAACTCATAATTATGTTTTCTGAATTCTGAGTGTCACTGCACACCAACAATTAATGACAGCAAATAGCTCAAACATGTTAGCTTTAATGAATTTCACTTATTTCCACCATAAAATTGTTTATTTGAAACTAGCATCTTTCATAAGGTTTCAGCCTCTTAGGAGAAAAGCATCAATTGTCTATCTCAACAATTGCAAAATGTTTGATTTTTTTTTCTGTAAGAATTGAAGATAAAAATTATCAGAAGAAATTAAAGATATAAGACGTGAATATAATAAAATCATATGTTCTTGGCCTGTTGAGAACTCTTATTAGAAATTAATGAATACCATCTGTG